TACAAAATATATATATATATATATATATATATATATATATATATATTGTCATGGAAACAGTGTAAATAAATAAATAAATATATTTGTTTCTTTTCAGCACAAGAGTCTTATAATGTATAATCATTATAGTATTCAAATAATATATCATTATTTTTTCAGATTAAAATACTGAGAATTACATTTTTTCATCACTGTAATAATTGCTATAAAAATACATGACATTTTGCATTAAAAAAAAAACTATTTATGACCTAGGATTTTTTTTATTTCAATATAATTTCAGTAATTTCATGACAATTAAACATGCATTGCTGTAACAGTTCATTCAAATCATTATAAGTTTAAGGCAATACAACAAAAACTTCATGATGTATAAATAATGCATTATTTTTTATCGTTTATTTTTACATTACTTTTATGACATATATATATATATACATATATACATACATACAACATGCATCAATTTTTCAAAGGCATTCATGCATTTAATTAAATGCATTTTTAAGCATTTCATGAGATTCATCCCAAAATCTGGACACCAAAATCCCCTCCTGACCTCACCTCAAGACTGATGCGTCTGCCACCTGTCAATCATCTCAGTCTCGTGGATTAAGGCATATCATAAATGCAAAGATGCACGAGGAGATGTTTAAGAGGATAAACAGAGCAGGCTCGCTGTCTTAATCTGCAAACCACAGCAAGCTTCCCTTGAAGAACACTTACAATAAACTTCCATCTGGGCCTCAGTGATGATATTAATCGAGAGTTTCTGGTAATTGCTTTCCTGATGTCAGATAATACACCAGCATCCGTCTGAAAGCGTCTAATCCTGACCCGCTTTCAATGGAGCCGGAGGACGAGTGAAATAGCGTCTCATGAATAGCAGATGATTATTCAAAGAGAGCATTTCCATATCATTTCCACTCTACATGTACTCTAAACAGAGTGAATTACCATGCAGACTCCTAAGAGCCTTTCCTAATGGCTCTGAACGCTTCAATAAGCACTAAATTTGACCAAATAACGCCATCTGAATTACATCACGCATGGTACATGAATTCTGGAGCATTCTGAATATAATTTTATTTTTGCATTTCTGAAAAACAAAGTGAATGGACTGAATCACACAATCCAGTTACAAACAGACAGAAACTCATAGGTTTTCACTATAAACTGCCAAAGTAAAAGTTCGGTTTAATTTGAAGAAATTATGACAGAAATAAATTATTGTTGTACAGCAGAATGCACTTCTCAAAGTAATAATAATCATAATGATACATTAAGGAATATCCCAATTTTTCTTCCATGTTTTAATTTGAACAGTAAACCTCCATTGTGTAGAACTTTATTGCCAAAAAATAAAAGGAATTGTAATTTTTTATTTGATTACACTTTAAAAGATTAATTAAATTGTTAATGTTTCATGCCTTCATTTTATCACTACCATTTTTGATCATTTGTATTATATCATAAATCCAGAAATATTAAAACAGACAACACAGAATTTCTGAAAAAAAAAATAATAATCACAGGGCCCTATTATTGTAAATATATTAATAAATTATTGAATTGTTAAAGTTTTATTAATTCAATTGATTAGAGATGCTTTTTGATTATTAAAATTTTATTAAACCATTAAAAAAGACAAAAACAGAATTTGGGAAAAAAAATAAAACAGATTTCATAAAGCCGTAAAAATGTAATTTTTGTTACATTTTTTATAAATTGTTGCTAAATTGTATAAGTTTCAGGATTTCAGTGAATTAAGACATGCTTTCTAATTATTTAACCATTAAAACAATCCAGAAAAAAAATAAAACAGAAAATACAGAATTTGGAAAAAATAAACGAATTTTGAGAAAAAATTTAAACTTTTTTTTTTAATAAAAAATCAAATTTTGTAATAAATTGTTGTTAATTTGAATAAGTTTCAGGATTTCAATTAATTAGACATGCTTTTTGATTTCTAACATTTTATTTAACTATTAAAATGTGAATCCAGAGTCTAGAAAAATTTAAAATGGGAAAAAATCAAACAGATTTGATGAACGGTGCTGGCCTGTGCTGGAGCGCAAAACAGCTTGAACACAAACGCTGCAGAATGATTTTTTAATAGGTTTGATCACTCCTAACACTACAAAGAAACATTTAAATGTGCTCTATTTAAAGCCGAATGTACAATGTTCTCACAATCGCAGTAAAACTGGGAGTATCCGCATAGCGACACCCACATTTACTGGAAAACGCATCCTAAAGCATCTCACAACTGGCATTTCAGGCCAGTAACTCACAATGGTGAAATAGCCTACACGTGGGCAGAAACGCAGTTCTGCCTGTTTTACCTAAACACAGAGAGTCCTACAGCACTGCTGACTTGGATGTTTCCTCACTGAGGTTTATTAAAAGGGATGTGGAGTTAAAGCCAAGATCCCAACGGGGAACGAACAGCAAACCTCCCCGATCGAGCTGAAGCAATCCGTCCCAGGAGAACTAGAAATGATGAAATCCTTCGCCTCGAGAACACACACACACACACACTCGCTCTGATGTGAGCGCTGTAATCAATAGGGCGACAAATGAACCTGCACAATTGACTTCAGCTTGTTCATTCATTATTAACGGCTCAGACTAAATGAACTTAAATTGAAGTAGCAGGCGTTTGACAGCCCTAAGCTTCTCATTTAGCATTCAGCAACAAATCTTAATGTGAGGCCCAGTGAAACACCGATACAGCTCCCTAGACGGGGAAGTTTGCTTATGAACCGAAGTTTGACACTATTTCCACTCGGAGAAAAATAACTTCTCTGTGTCTTGAGCTCTGACTCCTATTCTTACTGGTTGTTATTTTAGTATCACTGAGATACTATTATTTTTTATTATTAGTTTAGATTCGTTTAGATTTTTATATTTTCAGTTTTAATTTTTTATAATATATTAAATTAGTTTTTAAGTTTATATTTTCCATTTTCATTTTTATTAATATTTTATTTGTTTTTATTTTTGTTTTTAATTTATATTGTAATTTTAGTTACTTTTTTAGCAATTTTGAGTGTATTTGTCATTTTTTTGTTATTTTAGGTCAAGTTAAACTACACGAAAATGAGAAACGCTGCCTTGACAACTAGCTGAAATAAAATAAGTTTAAGTTTTTTTTATATACTTTTCATTTATATTTTAATTTTAGTTACATTTTTTGCAATTTTGTTGTTGTTTTTTTTTTTGTCATTTTTGTTTTTTTAAATAAAGAATTTATTTTATTTTTATAAAAATTTTTAGCTGTTTTAGTTAAGTTAAACTAAATGAAAATAAGAAATGTTGCCTTGGCATCTAGCAGAAATACAACATATTACAAAATAAAATTCAAATATAAATAAAAAGGTTTAAAAAACATTTTGTTGTGTATTTTGGTCTTTTTTTATATATATAATTTTATTAAGTTTAAAAGGTTTTAGTTTTTATACCCTACTTTTTGTTACTACAGAAGAAATGCTAACTAATTTAAAATAATCTTTTTTATTTTTATTTTAGTTAACTATAACAAACCTGAAAGGACTCTTAATGGATATAACATAAGAAACACTGAAACGTGGGTGTCTTGTTTTACAGCCTCTAAATATCCCAGTGATTATGTGTTTAAGAGTTTTCTCTTGCTTATTTTCCAGTGTAGTGTTCCAGCTCACAGAAATCAGGTCACACGGCGCTACTTTCACCGAAGGTTTTCCGATGCATCAGACGCAAATATAATTGGAGCGATCAGAGATACATCAAAAGAAATCCCTGTGGAAATTGCAATGGACTCAAGGTTGGTGTTTCTGGAGAGTTAATTAAGATCTAAGGTCGTTCCTGTGAGTGTTTGGGTGTTTCAAGTCAAACTGAAGAGAAATTCAAGACACTACAGGTGAACAAGGCAACACATTTAACTAATAAATATCACCATACTTCCCTAGTTGACTGATTACATTAAGAACTGCAAGCATTTTTTACATTTTCTTAAATGTTATGTTTAAATATGCAAATGTGACATTATCTAATCAAATACGCACTAATTTGCATACATTTCCAAAACATAAATCTGAACCTTGGGTAGAGCCAGGTTTTTGTTTGATTTTGTTGACATATTAGAGTTAACGTTTTTTTAGAGACTTCGGATTTACTAAGAAAATACTGAAAACAGAAAAAAAAAATGCATTTTCACCATGTTTTTAGGAATAAAGTGTTGTATAAATCAGTGTAAATGATATTTGAACAAACCCCTCAGTAAACACCTTCAGAATATAGAATAGAATAAAACTGCTAAGTTTGGTGTATGTAAGTACTGCTGAAGTACAGATAAAAACGCTTTAAAAATCCTTACTATAACTGAAGTCTAAAGACACAAATAGATTAAACATTTTAAAAACCACTTTTTAATTTAATTGCACTTTCTTTTCACTAATCTGAAACACATTATGACAAGCAAAACAGCCCAAAATCTCAAAATTGCCCAGTGCATGAAAAAAAACTTTTGCCTGTAGTGTCTCGCTTTTAAGAGACATGCTTAAAATAAGAATGACATATGAACAAACCCCTCAGTAAAAACCTTCAGAATATAGATAGGAATAAAACTAAGTTTTAGTGTTTGTAAGTGCTGCTGAAGTGGAGATAAAACTCACAGCCTTGAAAGATATGCATTTTCAGCATGTTTTTATGAATAAAATGTTGTATAAATCAGTGTGAATGATATATGAACAAATCTCTCAGTAAAATCCTTCAGAATATAGACATGAATAAAACTGCTAAGTTTGGTGTATGTAAGTGCTGATGAAGTGGAGAAAAAACTCTTTAAAGATATGGACTGAATTTGAAATCTACAGGCGCAAATAGATAAAACATCCAAAATACACTTTTAAGTGTTTATTTTATTGCAATTTCTTTCCACCAATCTAACATGTTATAAAAAAGGACAAATAGACCAAAATCTCAAAATTGCCCAGTGCATTAAAGAATTTTGCCTTATGCACCATGCTTAAAAAAAGAAAGAAATATATGCCAATATGGAAAAAAAAACTTTTCCTTTGAATTCATCTATTAATTGGATAAAGCCAGGTTCAAAATTCTTGTTTGATTTTGTTGCCATATTAGAGTTCAAGGTTTTTCCAGAGAGGGTTTTGGATTTCTGTTTTTATCACTCCATAAATCAGAAAATACTGTTGAGTTCAAGGTTTTTCCAGAGAGGGTTTTGGATTTCTCTTTTTATCACTCCATAAATCAGAAAATACTGTCAACAGACAGAAAAACTAAATTTTCACCATGTTTTAGAAACTAAAATGCTGTATAAATCAGTGTAAATGATATATGAACAAACCCCTCAGTAAAAACATTCAGAATATAGAGAGGAATAAAACTGTAAGTTTTGGTGTTTGTAAGAGCTGCTGAAGTGGAGATAAAACTCACAGCCTTTAAATATATGCATTTTTGACATGGTTTTGAAAATAAAATGATGTATAAATCAGTGTAAATGATATATAAACAAACCCCTCAGTAAAAACCTTCAGAATATAGATAAGAATAAAACTGCTAAGTTTGGTGTATGTAAGTACTGATGAAGTGGAGATAAAAACTCTTTAATGATATCTTTTGTAATTGAAATCTACAGACGCAAATAGATAAAACATTCAAAATACACTTTTCAGTGTTTATTTTATTGCACTTATTGTACATTTATTTTACTGTAAGTTTATTTTATTTACACTTTATTGCACTAGTCTGAAACAATATGTTATGAAAAGTCAAATAGCCCAAAATCTCAAAATTGATCAGTGCATGAAAAACCTTTTGGCTCTAGTGTCTTGCCTTAAAATCAGCCAAAATAAAACTGTTTTCCTTTGAATTAATGTTAATCCTGCCTTTATTCACTTAATTAATTGTTTGATTTTGTTGACATATTAGAGTTTTTACAGAGGAGATTTTGGGTATCCCTTTCTAAAATGATGGGATCTGCTCAGCTATTTGTCTGTTTCTTTTGGCTGGGCTTCATCGCTGTCAAAGCTGGAAACTGTGAGTGAGAAAGGCAGAAGAGGACATCATGCATCACTCCACGCCTGTCAAACCTGACGGCAAAGCTGCACACATTCATGCGAGCGGCTGGGAACACGAGGGCCTGCATGAAAAGATCAGAAGCTGAGGAGGGGTCCCGACCCAGAGAAACACGCAGCAGGTGGTTTGACAGCGTGCCACTAAAACTCACACACACACACTCACACACACACACAGAGAGGCAAATGCCTGTGAAAGGTCAGCGCTGACACGCCGTCTCCCCTGATGGAGACACAATCCAGTGTGGTGGCGGAGGAGTGATATTCCCACAGCTCTCCTGCAGAGAGAAGGTCACGTCCAGCCCGCAGCACCCGCTGAAGTCCTGCTCCTGCTTACCGTCACTCACAAAGGTCTCGTCCCGCGTGAATTTGCCTCTGTATCGCTGCCTCGCCTCAAACTATGTCACACATAAACAAACCGCTTGTGAACATTATTAGCTGTGAAAAGGAGCGAATCGAGACCGAGCACCACACACACACTCACTCACTCTCACACTCACACACTTACACTCACACACTCACTCACTCACACTCACTCACACTCACACACTTACACTCTCACTCACTCACTCACACTCTCACACACTTACACTCACACACTTACACTCTCACTCACTCACTCTCACACACTTACACTCTCACTCACTCACTCACACTCACTCACACTCACACACACTTACACTCACACACTTACACTCACACACTTACACTCACACACTTACACTCTCACTCACTCGTCAACATGAAGAAACTGACTTTCCTACGACACGTTCCTGGTCTTACTGTGAACGATTCATCGGTCGTTCCAAAGAAGAAAAAAATGTATATGTATATATAATTTAAAGCAGATGCAAATGATTGAGCCATTACAGTTGTGCTTCAAATTTACATTTACAGTGTTGTTGTTTTTTTATAATTTTTTATTTATTATATTAGTATTTTTCACAGTACATTACAATGGTATATTAGAATGGTAATGTATTTTTTTATTATAATTATTATTATTAATAATAATAATAAATGTAATATATGTAATATTATTGTACTATAAAATAAATATTTCAATAATATTACTATTATTATTAGTAATTATTATTAATATTATTTATTATAATATTTAAATTTTTACAATTGTAAAAAAAATTCTCTCTTAATTTCTTAAACTCGTCAAGCCCTATTTTGGCAGAAAATAATCATGTTCCATAACAACTGGGCAAAACAAGTGAGTGGCTGGCTAGACGCTGCAACTATTACTTACGCATTTGTCCACGAGATTTCTGCGGCAGTAAAAGCGGAAACTGAAGATAACGCGGCTATGACGCCATTCACAGTCAACACAAAGCCACAAACCGTGTCTTGGTTAAAATTGCGAATTTCTCTGGATTTACAAATAGTTGGAAACATTTGGGATAATGCAAGTACACAACTGAACAAAATATATAACACTGTCCTACTGGTTTTTGGATATTTTAACGCAAAAATCTTACATACTGTGCCTTTAAAGGAAAAGTTTTTAATATGTTCTCCATTACAAAATCTTCTCAAATGCTGTGGCCTTTTTGCGACATACAGACTATATTTATTTAATTAAAAATAAATAAGAAAAAATAAAACTGCGGTTGTTTACAAATGCAACAATCGCGATGAAGAACTACTGAAGAACATTTATAGTTCAGAGTAAAGCCAAAGCCAAAGCCAGGACAGCAGTGTTTGTATCTATTGTGCTCTGTTGTCATTGCCTGTAATCTCACATATACTGATCCTATAATTACAGCTACTAGAAAGATCCACTTCCCAGTCTGTCCTGGGCTTCAGGGTCTCCGTGTAAAAGTGCTGACGTGTGATTTTCATGAGGATAAACAGCTGCGTGTTCAGTAATCAGTGCCATGTGGCCAAACACACATATAGGCTCAGCAAAACGACACTTGAGCTCTTAAACGCAGATCTCACAAACACAAGAGCTCTAAATGTCCAGCTGTCTTTAACACAGGGATAATAGCACATGCATCCGTGCTGTTACAGTCAGGCTTTGTTCAGGAAGTGACAGGAACTTGATCTCATGGATACAGAAGCAAAAACAAAGCAAGTTTCATGGCATTCGGGGAAAAGGTTGGGGTTGCTCACTACTCAGAATCTAACCGAGAATGGTGTTTAAATTACAATTTCTGAATTTGATTTGAGGTAGCAAACCGGAACTAGAATTTAAAAGACAATAGAATTAAAATGAACTGGAATTCAAAGAAAATCATATAGGAATAAGAAGTTGAAGAGGCTTAAATTTAAAGAATGACATCACCTGTTGAATTTCTTTGAATTGTAATTTAAGTGTAATAAATAAATAAATAATAATATACACTGCCGGTCAAAAGTTTGGGATCAGAACGATTTCTAATGTTTTTTTACAGGAGTTTCTTAACCTCATCAAGGCTGCATTTATTTGATCAAAAATACAGGAAAAAGTGTAATATTGTGAAATATTATTATAACATTTTTCTATTTTAATATACATTAAAATGTAATTTATTTCTGCCATCACCTGTTGAATTTCTTTGAATTGTAATTTAAGTGTAATAAATAATAATATACACTGCCGGTCAAAAGTTTGGGATCAGAACGATTTCTAATGTTTTTTTACAGGAGTTTCTTAACCTCATCAAGGCTGCATTTATTTGATCAAAAATACAGGAAAAAGTGTAATATTGTGAAATATTATTATAACATTTTTCTATTTTAATATACATTAAAATGTA